TGGACAGACAACAACTCACTGACTTATGTACTGACAAGAGCTAAGCAGGATGCTACTGGACAACGATGGGTAGCCGCCCTGGCCAGCTATGAGTTCAGCATACAGTACCGATCAGGGAGAAACAATGTAGATGTGGATGCATTGTCTCGGCGTCCACAGCCAACAGAAATTGGTGAGATTCCTGTAGACGGAGTGAGAGCTATCTGCAACGGTAGTTATGAGAAGTCCAAGGCACATGAGAGTCCCCATGGGTGTGTTGCAGAAACACTGGGCCTACCCCCTGAGAGTGTACCCTCTGTCTCCGTGAACTACATTATGTTGGACCAGTCCTCCTTGCCCAGGCTCAATGCTTCTGACTGGCAGAGAGCACAGCTGCAAGATGCTGACATCCATAACACACTACTTGCAAAAAGAGAAGGGAAAAGCCCTAGTGCAGTAGCCACATCCACCCCTGAGGGTAAGCTACTGTTGCGGGAGTGGTGCAAAACTGGAACTAATACAGATGCACCGGATCACCGTAGATCCTTTGCAAAATCGACGAACGCAACTAGTGCTACCAAAAGAGTACAGAGCCTTGGCCATGAGAGCCCTGCATGATGATTTTGGGCATTTGGGAATGGAGAAAACCCTGGAACTTATCCGTAGTAGGTTTTACTGGCCCCGAATGGCTGAAGATGTACGAAAAAAATGTGAGACCTGCGCCCGATGTGTTCATAGGAAAACTCTGCCTACCAGAGCTGCTTATCTGGAGAATATCACCACCAGCAGGCCTTTGGAGCTGGTGTGTATCGATTTCTTGTCTTTAGAAGTGGACAGGAAAAATATGGGGAACATTTTAATAGTGACTAACCATTATACCCAATATGCACAGGCATATCCCACACGTGACCAGCGGGCCACTACTGTGGCACGAGTTTTGTGGGAAAGATATTTTTCAGTGTATGGTCTCCCAACTCGGATACATTCTGACCAGGGGAGGGACTTTGAGAGTCACCTCTTGAAGGAGGTGCTACGATTGTCCGGAGTTAAGAAGTCCAGAACAACACCTTACCACCCCCAAGGTGACCCTCAGCCCGAACGGTTCAATCGGACTCTACTAAATATGCTGGGGACTTTACGCCCAGACCAGAAAGCATCCTGGAGCCAGCATGTCGCATTTTTGGTGCATGCCTACAATGCTACAAGAAATGATGCTATAGGGGTCACCTCATTCTTCATGATGTTTGGACTGGAGCCGATACTGCATATAGACATATGCTTTGGAGTATCAGGAGATGGCGAGAGTTATGAAACACACTTGCAATATGTCTCCCGATTACAAGAAAAAATGCAGAATGCCTATCGCTTGGCTACTGCAGCTGCCCGGAAAAATGCAGACCGTAATAAACACCGATATGATGCGCGAGTGCGCCCACAAGAGCTCCAACCTGGGGACAGAGTTCTGCTACGAAATATGGGTATTGCTGGCAAACACAAGATTGCCGACAGATGGAAGGCAATGCCTTACCGGGTGGTGGAAAAACTTAGAGATCTACCGGTCTACAAGATTAAACCAGAAACTGGGCCAGGGCAAGTAAAAACAGTGCATTGGAACCTTCTGCTGTCTGTGGGAGAATTGGCAGGCGCCCCTTATGAAATGGACCATGACATGGGGCCTCAGCGAAAAAGGAGTGTCCGGACAAGTCAACCACCCATTCAAAGATTTACTGTGAAAAATTTCAGTGGGAAATTGTGTTTTTCACAAAACAATTTTTCTGTGAAAAGTGTGTTTTTCTTGGAAAATACTGACTTGTCATCTGAAAAATGAATAACCAACCAGCCAAACTAAAAACTTTTCAATTTGGAAGTGCTACTAAAATGAAAGCAGTAGTAGTCACATCATACCCCCAGGCTTTAAAGTAGGAATAAGAGCCTCCGGAAAAGGGCGCTTTTTCCGGAGGATCGGGGCCAGTGTAGACGCTCTTTTCCGGCTTTTTTAAAAGCCGGAAAAAAGCGGCGGACATTTTTATTTAAATGCCGCGGGGGATATTTAAATCCCCCGCGGATTTCCCTACTACGATAGGTGAAATTAACATGCCCCTTCCGGAAAAGGGGCCAGTGTAGACGTAGCCCATGTGTGGTGAGCCCTGTTAAGCTAAACTGCCTCTACCCAGCACCTTTGAGAGTGAATCTGAAGAGGGAGATGATCCCATGGAGTATACTGAGATGCAGACCAGATTCCATCAGTGAGGGCCTCTACCCACTCCACTTCTTTGGCTCTGAATCCTATGGCTGAGGCATTTAGGCCTGTGGAAGGAGGCCTGTGGAAGGAGGTTCGGTGTACTCACCTAGACAAACCTCGGAGGATGAGTTTGTCCCATCTACATCTTCAGAACTTCTGGGAGAGGAACAGGCTTGTGATGACACACCTGTGTCAGTGGACAGAGAGTATGTTCAAGGGGAAGGTGTCCCCAGTGCCCTGGACATCCCAGCATCTCAACAAGAGGTGCAACAGCATGTATCTGAAGAGAGGGTACCTACACATAACCCCTTGTCTGCCCAAGCCCCAGAAGAGGTCCTCACAGTTCCTGCTGTGCCTGTGCTTGATAGGCGTGATAGGGTTATAAGACCAGTGAACAGGCTAACTTACAATGCACCAGGAGTGGTTAGTGAGGATGTGATACACCTGGCACACAGGCTTGTAGAGGCCATAGTGGGCTTCCTTAGACCCTTTGAAGAGAACTCACGTTGCCGGTATAATAAGGACGGCAAATTTTTGACTGGGGGGAGGATGTAAGCAGGGGCTGAACTGCTGCTTGCTGTCAGACAGCTAAAAGGAGGGGTGGGTGAGCCCACTACAGTTGTTTAGCTCTGCAAGGTAATTAACTGTTAACTGTTGACATGTAAATACTGCTCAGGAGAGAATCCGAGGTGTGGCTATGTAAATCCCATTCAGCCAGGGCTGATGGAGGGTCAGTGTTGGAATGGAATGTGGAGAATTGTATATAATTTGGGACTGTTGTGGAGGTAACTAATCATGCTACCCCTAAATGTGGGAACTGTCAAACATGCCACCAGTGCTTGCAGGAGAGACACCACCATCATGGTAAGAGGTCTCGGAAGAACAAGCCTCCCCCCTTCCAGAGTTGAGTGAACTGAGCTGGAGGAAAGGGTTAAAGGGTTTGAGTCACCCTTGTTAAAGGGCTTGAGTCAGTCTGCTTCACACCTGCCAGGTGTGAGCTATAAGATTGGCCTAGCCTGCACCTTTCCCCCTTTGTTTTAAGGACAAACCTAAAGCAGACTCCCTGAGGAGTCTTTTCTAGTCCAGTGAAAGCTGGATTCATTTGCCAGTTTGGCTGGTGGCTAAAGAGCTGAAATCACTGGTTTGGTTGAGAGCCAGATCTATTGCAGCCAGTGAAGTGGCGGCGACCAGCGGCGTGGCGTGGAGCGGAGTGGCCATCAGCGGTGTGGCGTGGAGCAGCGGCAGGCAAGGAGCGACGACCAGTGGTGTGGAGCGGCGGCAGGTGCCCAGCGGAGCGTCCAGAGGCGTGGAACGAGACAGCTGGTGGAGCGTGGTGGAGTTTCGTATAAGGTGCCCCCTATCTATCCCCGCACCCTCATTTTTACCCAGATTGGGAGGTGAAACCCTGCGGGTGAACTTTGGGACTCTGGGTGGCATGGACCAGGGACAGAGACTTTTGGGGTGTCAGACTTTTTGGACTTCGGGCGATTCTTGGCTGGGGTGGGGGCTTGGCTCATGTTTGGGTTATGAATTCTGTTTGTGGTATTTTCCCCAAGTTAATGCTGTATGACTTCTCTCTTTGTTTCATTAAATGTTTCTTTCCTACACTCAGACTCAGTGCTTGCGCGTGGGGAAGCATTGCCTCTCAGAGGCACCCCAGGGGTGCGTGAATTTCCCAGATTACTGGGTTGGGGGCTTGAGCCGGTTCTATGTGAGATGAACTCCAAGATATTGAACCCAGCCCTGGTTACTGCCAGGCCTACCCGGCAGAAGGGTTACATACATATAATGTAAAACAAGCCGTCCAGCTAACAAGTAATAGTGGAAAGCACTTAGCGAACTCTCCAGGGTTGTGAGCCTGCAACCCAAGGAAGTCCACTGGGCTTTTGAGACAAAAGCAGAGTCTACACTGGCACTTCACAGCTCTGTAACTTTCTGGCTTGGGGGGTGTGAAAAACACTCCATACCCCAGCTCCCCGAGCTCAGCAAGTTACAATGGTGTAAAGCACCAGTGTGAATCAGAATCTACAAAATATTGCTGTATAAATACAAAAATACAGCATAGGGAGCTATATTCCCAGTGCTGATTGCTCCTTCCCTCATGGAAGTGCTTTACATAGACAGGCCCACAGACAGGGGTGGACGGTGTGAAAGGTGCAAAAGCACACCCTCATGGTCCTCCATGGTCCCCCATGGGGCTGATTCTGGCTGGCTGGGGGAAGGCAGGAGTGGTGCATTGCTCAAGGCTCCCTCCCCTGTGCTCCAGCCAGCCAGGGGAAGGCTGGGGCAGTGTGCTGCCCGAGCCTTCTCCCCCACCATGCTTCGACTGGCCAAGGGAAGGCTAGGGCTTGTGCTCTACCTTTACAACAAAACCACCCCCCCCCCAACAGAAATGTCTGCATATGGGTTTATAGGGTGCTGGGCGATCACTTTCCCAGTGCTCATGGCCACACTTTCAGTTTATAGTGCTGCTGCAGCTTTGCTTTAAACTTCTAAGACAAAGACAAGGGACTTTGGAAAATATATGGGGAGCAAAAAGTCATTCTGGTTATCCATCACTTAGTGCACAAAGGAAACAGCACCCTCTGAGTCTGTGAAAGTTCGATTCCCCTGGCCTGAAGGAGCAGGATTTTATGTACATAACGTATGCATATTGTCAGGCAGGCCAGACAGACTGCCCTCTCAGCTGCAAATGAACAGCAGTTGCATTATTGTTTGTTTAATGCTCCGCGATCACTTGATATTTTATTATTACATGGATAAGCCTGAAAATAGTTACCTTAAAATTCTCCTCCGTGAGTCCTGCTTCAGTTTTGGCATCTCTTATCATTGCAGCAACGTATCGCTTAACAAGATTTCTCATCACTTCCTAAAAGATTTAAAGGGTGTGTTAGTATTGCTAGTAATGCTAACTGGATATACATTCACTGAACCAATTGCATTTTCTTCTTCTTTTTCTAGTCTAGGGCACTATAAAAACTTTAAAATTCCTCGTGCCAGTCAAACGTTTTGATCAATGTGGATTTTTTTCAATGAAAAACATTTTTTCCAATATATTTGTCTTGAAAAATATGGGGGGAGGGGGCAGTTCTATCTTTTTCTAATAATTGCCCATGATAATAAAAATGGATAGTCACCTGGTATTGATGATGTCTTCTTAAATTATCAGCTGCACGTCTCTGAAAAGAAACAGATTGAGATACAGAGTGGAATTAATGCTAGTGACTCATTTTAAAAAAACATCAGCAACTGGTGGAAAGTGGCAGGACAGCAATAATATGGACTGAGAGAAGTGATGTGAAGGGCTGGTTTGAGGTCTTCTGGGAAGTTTTAATGCTAGTGAAAGGTCAATCATGGAGCCTGGGAGACCTGCCGACCAAAAAAAAAGCCAAGTAGATCCTTTGTGTCTTCTGCATACTGCAAAGGGGAGATTTGTGCCAGCTCTAAATATGCCAGAGTGGGCTGAAGCTTAGTGTTGGGTGCAGAGGATCTGCGATCAAACTGAGATGATCTCCACACACAGGGATGATTCCGCCCTTCAAAGCAAGGATAGAAGCTATCCAGGAGCTCAGTAGTGCACCATAACTTCCTGATAGGTTAGAGAGTGAATATTATCTCTTTACTAATGTTCCCTCTAATCTCTTCCATCCATGTGTGGATTGTTTTCATTTGTGTGTGGAATAATTTGTATGTGCACTGAGACATGTGCATATGTGCACCACTGGTAGAAACAAAAAACCTAGCTGGGGGCGTTCTGCTAACCATCTGGGCAGCATGTGAATCTCTCCAGCTCACATGAAACCCTGCTCTTCACCACTCCTAATCTTCCTGCACAAAGCTATGTGCAGTGAAGAATGAATTTGGGTGAAAGAAAAAATAAAGACCAAGTAAAGTTTTGCACTGTAGTGCAAAGGGCAGTCTTCTCAGATTAATGGTGCTTTTCATCTCTGAATGAATGAGTCAACATTAGGTCAACAGGAGCAAAAGAAAGCCAAACCTGTCCACATTACCGGATGGGCAATGCTCAAATGGTGGACAACTAAAAGTGGCTTCACAGGAAGAACTGGGTAAGACACAGCACTACTAACAACAAAGCAATGGGCATCTCATCCGATTGTACTCAGATACCTAAGGGGCCTCAGGAAGAAGGAAAAGAATTATTTGATTCTTACTCTGCTGGACAATTAACGAGGTCCTCAATAACAATTCAGGCTGGCTGATTGAAGTCTTTGCTCAGTCTATACCTTTGATTGTTAACCCTAGTTTACATTAATCGCTTCCAAGTCCAGAAGAGAAAACTATGACCATCTAGTCTGACCCCAGTCGGACACAGGCCAGAGAACTTTCCCAGAGTAATTCCTAGAACAGATCTTTTTTAACAAAATTCCAGCCTTGATTTAAAAATTGTCAGTGATGGAGAATCTACCACACCAATTGGTAAGTTGTCACAGAAGTTAATTACCCTCACTATTATACATTTATACTGTATTTCCCATTTAAATTTGTCTAGCTGAAATTTCCAGCCATTGCATTGTGTTATATTTCTGCAGGCTGCTGAAACACTTCACAGGGCCTTGGGGAGAGAAGGCTTGGGGCTGAGAGCTACACTCCTCCAGCCAGTTGTTCAGTGTGACCAGGACTGCAAGGTGCATGCTGTCAGGGGCTCCCGCAGCGATCTAAGGGGCTTGGGGCTCTGACCACTACTGCTGTACCAATAGTAACAGCCAGGAGCCCCTGGCTGTTTAATTAGCCAGGCTTTGGGGCTGCTCCCCCCTTCCTCCAGTCAGCTGCCCTGCCTGTCTGTAGTAGATTAAAAAGCTCATTATCAAATATTTGTTCCTTGTGTAGAGCAATAGACCATAATCAAGTCACCCCTTAATCTTCTCTTTGTTAAAGTAAATAGAATGACTTCTTTGAGTCTATCGCTATAAGGCATGTCTTCTAATCCTTTAATCATTCTTTGGAGTCCTCTCTGAATTCTCTCCAGTTTACCCACATACTTCTTGAGTTCTGGAGAACAGAACTGGATACACCAGCAGAGGTCGCACCAGTGTCAAATACAGAATATATTAGAGGGAGCAAAACTGATTTTTTTTAAATTGCCTCCTATATTTGTCATTGCAGATGCAATTGTATGTCTGACCTAAGAGACCTGACAAAACTGAAGTCATAACAAATCAGGCATTTATATATTTTCTTCAGTTCTTGCAGTCAAAGCTGAGCTATAATCTACTTACAATTGGCATCATTCCTGTACTAGTGGATGGTTTGTAATTTCTGAATGAGCTCTCTTTTGTAATATACGGCGAAGTCATCATGAGGTTCCAGTAGAATGCAGGGATTAAGGTGTGGGGAGGGGAAAGCAGGGATGTTTCATTTTCTGTTGTGGTTGCTTCTCTGATAAGATACTGCAGGGAATGGTTCCCAAAGTGAGCCTTCTAGTTATTTCAGTGCTTTTTCCTGATTACATTTCTGGCTCATATATCATTTTGTGTATGTTAAATACAAGTTAGTGTGTCCCAGATCACTCAATCACCCAAAGAGAGAGTGGAAATGCATCAAGTCCTATGTCCAGAGGGTACAAAATTTCAGCAGTACCCCTTTGCAATGGAAGTGATGTCACCTTACCCCACTCTGCATTAAAGCAGTGTTGCTTTTGCAATGTTTTAAGCTAGGCCACGAGGTGGAGATATCACCCTCTTGTTGGGAGAAGACTCAGGAAATCCTAACCGCATTAGATTAGCATCATTAACACTGGTCCTACAATTGACAGGTAACTGCTTTTGCGGTTATATATATTCTGGAGTCTGTTATTTCCACTCCAACTCATCTGATGAAATGGGTTTTTACCCAGGAAGGCTCATGATATAATATATTTGTTAGTCTCTGAGGTGCTACTAGACTACTTGTTGTTTTTAACAGCATTAGATTTCATGAGGACAAGTCTGACTCACAGAGGATTTGGTAATGAGGAAAGAATCATTTAAAGATATCACTAAAATGTGCCTAGCTTGAGGTAAAGGTAGTGAACCCAATAAACACAATAAATACTGACTCCTGCATTGCAGAAAACATCACCCCAGCTGAACCCTGTCGTTATTTACAGTGAAATTCAAAATAAACGCATCAGCTCCAGTTCAGCTCCTCTGTCAGCTCTGGTTTCTATGGTACAAGATAATACTGATTAGCCAGATCAGTTATTTACTGATCATGCACCCTCTGAAGTCAATGGCAAAGAGTGTGGTGACTGTTTAGCACACAGAATGGTAACACAGGATTCCAGCGGAATGTACAAACCATATTTCTCAATGTGTAACTATCTCCAGAATATTTTTGCCCCAAGTATAATATCATTCTAGTAATTATAGTATCTAACTAGTGTTCAACATCTCAGTTCTCCCGCTCCAATGCAAATACTCATATCCTTTCTTTAGTTCCTTCTTCCCTTTCTCTTTTTTCTCACGGCAGAATGGACCCTCGCCTAAAGCCTTCTGAGAATTCATTGCCATGAATTGTTTACCAACTGCTGATTCCCAGCTCTGGTTGGGAACTGCAAAAAATGTGTGCCCAAGACCTGTGAGGGCTTCCACAGAGTGAGGATGAGAGAGGTTTGCAGGGTCCAAGGCAGCATGCCGTGGTTGGCTGTGCTGCACGGCTAGGTGGCTCCCCAGCCAGGGCAGTGAGCAAGCAGCTGCGTGGGGAGGTGCTGGGCAGTGCGGGGCCCTGAATGCACAAGGCCCAAGGCAATGGCCTTGCTCACCTTGCCCAAAGGCTGGGCCTGGGTGTAGAACAGGACATCTTACAGATAAGAAACATACCTCACCTCCCAGTTCTATTCCTCTGACTCCCAAACTAGCACCCCATCCATTCCTTTAAAACTCCTTCAAAACAGGTAGTTCCCAGGGGTTATCTTCTACAGAGACTGAAAGTTTCCTAAAGGCTATGGCCCAATTTTTCAAAGATCACCTCTAATTGAGGCAGTATTATTTTTTTGTAACAAAACCTAGTTTATTGGCTGCTTTTGAACACTGACACATAGTCATAACATTGTTAGGTTGGGTGCCATCATCACATTATTGGACAGTACACTAACAGTATTTTAATCTCTCTGAGTGATTGATACCTATAAAAGGATTCAACGGAAATTAATTATGATTGCTTTAAAAATATCGTAGATCCCCAGATCCTCCATTAGCGTAAATTGGAATAACCCCGTGAAATTTCACACAGTTAAGACCACAGAATAATTTGGCTCAAAATGTTTAATAGATGAATGTTATGTTCCCCAATCTTATTTTTCTGTCTGGTTCTTATCTGCACTTGTTTCTTACCCTCCTATTGCTCAACTTTTAGGTTAATCATTTCCCATCATTCTTTCTCAATCTAGGTCACGTTTTTTGTTTTGTTTTTCTTTCTTTCTCAAACTTCCTTTCTTCCTGGCTTTTCTTTATCAGCTGTAATGTATCCATCTCTTTTCACTTGGCTGATTCCTGCAGTCTATTTTTCATAATCCGTTTCAATGCCATCTTTAGGCCACCTTCTTTTTTTGTTTGTTTTTGTTTTGTTTTTTGCTGACACCCACTTTTTCCCTTTCTGTGCCTGTGTCTGTGTGTGTCTTTTCCTTTTCCTTTTCCTTTTCCTTTTCCGGTTCTTTCTTTCTTTCTTTCTTATCTATAGTAGTGGCAGCGAAACCCAAGCATACTAGCCTTTCATGATGCAAATTCTGTCCTATAAGGCTATAGTCTGGAACACGTGAATTCAATGTATTTTCAGGAAATCTGGAGTAGTTTCAGCTGTCATTCTGCATATCCATCATATGTGAGTCATCTCTGCATGCTTGTTTCTTGATATGTCCACCCAGGAGAACAAAAGCTCTCACTTATTAAAGTGAATGACAGGATATGACAGGGCAATGAGTGGGGCAATTCTAGACCATCACCCATTTGATGAAAACAAGCGAAAACGGGTAAGGAAAGAAGGGGTATAAATGAATAGAAAGGTGTCCAAGATAGGAGAATTCCTCACATCCTCAGTGTAATCACCCCCATCCTTGGTCCAGGGGTAAACTGGTTTCATTAAAGAGTGTGTCATTGAGTTTAATAGAGCCAGAATTGTATTTCTTGTATTTTTCCTTTATATGCTCCCTTCCAATTGTGTCTCACACTCATCAGTCTTCATA